TACCTCACTTATTTCTCAGGCTGATCCTCAGCATAAATCTTTCCCAGCACAAAGCAAGGATTTTTTTTAATTACTGCTATTAAGAAAGCAACAACAGTGACCTTTCAGTTCTTTCTCTCCTGTTCAAAGAAATAGAACCCCCACCTACAACCTCCATAAAAAATATTCTGTTATCTGTTCATCTTTTTTGGTCACAATTTTTATTTCACTTACTTGTTTTGCAACTGGCACTTTTAATTCCCCCATGACAAATAGATCTTGCTTCTGATACATTTGGAAGGAACTGTTCGTTCATGTTGAAGCATTTTTGGATGTAAATTTCCTATCCCTGAGTACATCTTAAGATAAAAAATTTATACTCAAAATTTTATAATCCTTAATTGATGGAGTTACAATAAAAAGTCCATAAATGTCAATGCTCAGTCAAAACATTTTATTTTCTTGAAGACTTCTTACTGAGCAATTTATATGGAAGATTTTAAGAGAACAGAAAAAAACAAGTTGAGAAACTCTTCGATGATATAAAATTTTGCATTGTCATTTTATTTCAATTTCATTTAACTGCAGCAGAAAATGTAGTGAATTATGTTATTTTGATGCACAAGCACATTGTGGATAAAGATAAAAGTAATGAGCCTTTCACATCAAGGCCTGATCCTAACAGGTTAAGTGGAAATGCCAGAGTAATAAAATAACCTGTTTGCACAATCACTCTTATAAATGCATACAATAATCCCCTTTGGAAAGAGAATAGAAAATATCAGTCACAAATAGTCAGCCACTGGCCAGAGTGTGTTACTGCCTGATGCATATCAGCTGCCACTCTCACAGACATCTCTCTAGCCCCTGGCTAACCTGAAAAAATACACAACTGTCTTTCCTTCACCGAACACCCAATTTTTTACTCCCTCTGTTGTTTATAAACTCTGGAGACAAAGTGATGTTTTAATTCCATCTCCAGTATATAAACCTGGGAGGGGAGCTGTAGGGCCAGCAGTGTGCTAACAGCCTGCACTTCTAATGGTATTCAAGGAGAGCTTGGAGGAGTTTTATAGGGCAATATACAGCCCTGTTTATGCTACAGCGCTGCTGAAGAGCACCTTTTGATGGAAGCTGGCATGTGAAAGAGGATGAGGAGTTTAGTGCTAGGCTTGCTGTTTAATTTTATTTTTGTAATAATGTATTTGCCGGTGCAATGGCCAGGGGCTGTACCCTGTGACTGGTAGCTGTGGAGGAAATACATAAGAGATTAGCAGCAGTGTTAGAATAGGTTTGTGTGACAGCCATCTTAAAGTTTGGGAGGACAAAACTGAGGGGAAAAATAAACATGCATGGTAGATGGCTGGGAACCCTGAACAAAGAGTTTTACACATCTGAACTAAACAAATCCTGGTTTTGGCATGATCTCCAGCCTGTGGCCGAATTTCTTCAACAGCTCTGTCAGTTAAGCTCAACGAGACAAGCCTAAGAGATGTCCAGCAACATTGGGGCTGTCATTTAGCAAACCCTTGTCCACATGCCTGGCTGGAGAATGGGGACAGAGCTGGGGAATCTTTCATTCCCAAGGCCCAAGCCAGGAGAGCGTGGAGGTGTTTGAAGGACGGGCACAGTCACAGACAGAGGCTGAGTGTGTTTCTCTGGGTTTCTGTGGAGTGCTGAGCACAATAGCCACCCCTTTACAAAGACATGGAATAACAACAATATAAATAGGGAAAACGGGCTCAAAATTGTTAAAATAATCTTTTTTGGCTGCTCCTTTCATAATGGAATTGCTGCATGTTGCTGTTTAGTGGCTTTGTGGTTAACATGAACAAAATAAAAAATCAGCATCAACAAAAATTTCAGAGAATGTCCTGATTAGTCCCCCAGTGCTTTGTCAAGAATAAAAGCGTCCACACAATATTTTATTAGCTATATGTGAGCCTCCCATTGAAATTTCTGCCAAAGCTGGTTAACTGGTTCTTCTGAAAAAGTTACCCTCTCAGTACAATTCCCATGCACTGTTCAGCAAGATTTTATTAAGGGTGTATATTAGGGTATAGGGGCAGTATTTGGTTTGACAAAATGATGTGTTTCTCTCTCACAACAAATAAAACAAACATTTCATGTCTTTTATTAGCTACACAATGTTAATTGTAATGATATGTCTCCTGGAGTTTCCTTTTCTCCTCCAGCCTTGTAAAAGAAATAGCAGGAAAGAATGGAATTAAAATACATCACATTCTCCCAGGAACTGAGGAGCCTGTTAAATCACAGTAAAAACTAAATAAATAGAAAGACTACCACAGCAAAGCATCAATTTTCCATAAGTTGTGTGAACATCCATAACCACTGACAGCATATTAACACTGTGTTTTGCTTTGCTTGTTTTAATCATGAGAATTCTATGACTTGAGAACTTAACTCCTAATAACAGAGCCTAAACCCTATTAGCATGTTCAAATAAGCATTTGCAGGGAGGCTGTTAAAGATATGTCAACAATATGAGCTCAGCTTTTTTCGTAATGGAAAACACACATAGCTGAGGACCGTGTTTTATGTGTCTTTAAAGAGAGCTGGTTCAAATGAAAATAAATAGAAAGCGCTAGTAGAGATACTCACAGGGATGATCTGTCCACACACTCCGATGGGTTCATGTCTTGTAAACGTAAAATAATCTCCATCTGAAGCAGATGAGCATGGTTACTCTCAAGTGCAGTTTGACTTGGCAGAACAAAAAAAAAATTAAAATAGAGGGGGGGAAAAAACTCTAAAGATCAGCCTTTGATGGCAGTAAAAGAAATAAAGAAGTCATGGAAGTGTTTTTTCGTGAGCCAGCATGGGAAACCTAGGTTCAGGAGCAACCTAATTGTTCTTTCTGTAGAACAAAGGGAGCAGGCATCCCCTCAGAAAGCAACCTGCTTTGTTCCTTGGGGAAGAGAACAAGCTGTACAGCACAAAAAATTGCAGTAGCGTGGAAGCCACTAAATGGCCTCAGCTCTCTAAGGGTGAGAGAAGTGAAGGAAGAGTCACAAAGGCAATTTCCTGAAAGGCATGACTGGAACACAGCAATACAAAGGTGTACATACAACCAGATGTGGGGCAATAGAGTAACACACATCCAGGTCACCTGCACTGGGGACACAGGCAGTGTGAAGGGATGGAATGATACACCACAACCTGCAGATGTGGAATGAAGGGGACAAGTCTGTGACTTGTGTCACTGCAGAAGACAACATTGATGAGTATACAGGGCTCATCACACAGCCGTGCCTTTGCAGCCAACTTGTACCAGGCCTGTGCCAGAAATGGCCTGGAGCTCAGTAGGCACCAGTTTAAGTTGACAGGACAAAGCTGTGAGCCACTAGAAAACAAGACAACAGAGAATAAGAAGTTTTCACAAACCTTTCGGGCAAGGTAGAGGTGAATAAATGAAGGGAAGAATATGAAGGAACCTAGTCACTGGAAACTTGGAAAATATGAGCTTTTCTTGATGAATTTTTGACAGAAATAGGAATATGGACTAAGGTCCTAACAACAAAGGTGCAGGAAAAGCAGACTGCGTAGTCACAAACAGGGGGTGTGGATGGCATGAGGCTGTAGGGAATTACTTAATTAACTCTCTGATCTGGTAACTATTTTTTAAGGTCCTGATGAACAAAAATGGCAAAAAAACTCCAGGGGAGGGAGGTATCACTAGTTAAAGTGAGTGCTACGTGAGACTGGCAGTCCTTAACAACTGTTGAGCTCAGGGCAGCCTGAGTCAGGGCATGGAATAAACAGATTTGTGATTTGGGGTCAGGCCTGTGGTCTGTGGGAGCCCCTGCTCCGAGCAGCCCATTCAGCACAGTTGGGGTAAGGGACTGCCATGGGGGCTGATGGAAGTTCAGGCTCTTTCACAAACTGCACCTGGTCTGGAAGCACATGCTGAGGTTACACAGGCTGAGATACCAGGGAGGTTTGTTCCCAAGTGACAAAGAGCCAGAAGACAACCTGCTCTGTGTGGGGACTGGTTGAGGTATCAGTTCAGGTATGGTCTAACCGGTAGCTTTGTTAGTGTGCTTGGTCTTCATCCGTACAAAGTAGATATACAGCACTTTTGTGCCTAAATTGAGTCTTGTAGCTGTATAAACTAGCCCCGAATTTAGGTCAGATGTTTTTCAGTGAGGCTATAGCTGAGGCAAGGGCTATGCTAAAGGCATGAGCTGAATGTGCCCCTTGGCCTGCAATGCTTGGTCATCTAGAAAAACTGGAGTCTCTTAACTTGGAAAATCATTTCAACTAAGTATGTGAGAATGATGAGAAGGTTGCAAAGGCTTAATGGCAGGAGATGATTTACCAGGATAAGAAAGGGTCAGACAGCGGAAGGGAGTAAGAGGAGCAGGAGAGATTACAGGGCTTTTGCTCCCATTGTTCTGTCCCAGGCAGGGCTCTGTGCTTTTCCTCCCAGGGTGTGAGGTGTCAGGCAGCCACGGCCTCTGCCCCATTCAGCCCAGAGCTGGAGCCACCTTTGTTCAGTATTGGGGAAGGACCTAACTTCACAATGGAGAGTGTGTTTTGGGAACCTGCTGCAATGTCCTCCACCATACATCTGGTAACAATAAACAGGTTAATCTATAAAGTTTCTTGGGTTTAAGAAAAGACTTCAACTTGAATTTGATTAGAAATAACTTATTTTCAGGTCTGCTTATTTCTATCCATATACTTTACAGGATTTGCTCAGTGGAAATCTGAGCTAATGCATCAGCTGGGGGCCAGATACAGAATAATTATGAGAAAGGTAACAATAATCTACATCCAAGACAAAGGACAGAGCAGAGGAAGTAAAGGAGGGAGGGAAAGAGAGAAAAGAGATTCACATCAGGAAAAGGTGGAAAAAATTAGTTTTCAATTGGTTTGGTCTGCATTGACAAAACATTGTTGTACCATTTTGATCTCCAGATCAACTTCCCAGTGGAAATGAGAATATCTGTGTCACAGATTGAGATGATCAGTTTGATTTTCCAGCTTATCTTTCACAGATGATAGCAGTGGTCCACAGACCATAGGAAGATTCATCAGCCCAGACAGAAGCGAAGTCGAAATGCAGAGAAGTGCATACAAGCAAAAGCTCAAGAGGCATACAGAGGAGTCAGCTAAAAATACAGGCTGGTACTGGGTAGTACTGAGAGGTGGGTTCTCAGCCAGAAGGATGGTGGCAACACAACAGTACCACAGTTCCGTTAGCACTGTCTGACTTTAGATCCTCACCGCATAATCATTGCACTTGTCTGCGTGCTTCAGAACACAAGTTATAGATAACCTGGGCCTGCTTGCCAGCTCAGACAAATGCTGGTTAATCCTCCCCAACGTGGGCAGAACGTTCTTTCCGTGGAGCAGCACCTCCCATGCAGAGCTGCTCTCCCTGCTGTCTTCCACTAGACTCCAGACAGCTGCCCTTTTTGACACCTACTTCCAAAGTTCATCATCCACAGACATACTGTCAAGATGGGATTTTTGAGGCTGCTTTCTAACAATATCTTTGGGAACATATGTGACTTGAAGTTATTCAGGCGCCTCAGATGTCTCTGGACAGGCCAAAGATGGATCTAAGAGCCGCCTTGTCCACAGTGTAAAACAAGCCGTTACCATGGTGAAATAACTCAAGAATTAAGTGAATCCCTTATTCTAAACAGTGAGCATAGAAAGCTCCCTTGTGCTTAGAAATTACATAGGAAACTTCAAAAATGTTTTAGAGTTTTAAGATTAGTTTATACAAGTCATGCTAATCACACTTATTCTAAGATGCTATGGCTGATGGTTGTTACTCTTACCCTTTACTAGCTGGCCTCCAGAAGAACATTGCCTGACACTGATCCCACACACAATCTAAAATTTTGTGTTAAAAGGGTTTTTTAATATTCTCAGCTGATGTAAACCGACATTCTTCAGTCCTCACTAATATTAATAGAGCAAGATCAATTTGCAGCTGCTTAGCACCTGGCCCAAAGACTTTAATTTTTTAATCAGAAAGCAAGCCTCGTTTATCCAGGGATCTCACTTTGGGACAGCAATATCTTCCACAGATGTGTTTGCTCAGATTTCCATCAGGAGTCTCCATCCTGGATATTTTATTTGCATAACAACCATCACACAGTCCCGTGCCTCGTGGAGCAGGACACAACAAACAAGTGGGTGAGGAGAGCTGAGTTGGTTCTTTGAGCTGTATCATATCATATATTGATTTAAAGATACATTTCTGCTTGCATTCAGTTTATTAGTTTAACAGTTTCTAGTCCAGCCTCATTCTGTTTTAATTTAAATCATCAAGGCTTTACGCATGGGAGCAAGCAAAGGGCAGTCTGAAGGTTTTGTAGCTCTGGGACCAAAAGGAATGTGACTGTAAAACGCACTGTTCTTCTTCTACTTGTCTATCACTTGCCTATTTTTATTTTAGAGGAAAAGAAAACCTCAGCAGAAACAGATGAAAGACTGAGAGGTTTCAGATTTATTAGCACGCTGAACAGAAAAGGGAGATTGAATAGTGTTTTTATTTCGTTTTTGTTGTCTTGTTTGTTTACCTTTGATGAGCTGATGGTAAGTGAACTTAAAGAGCACTGGCTTTGCTCTAAAATAGCTTTATGAGAATGACAAATTTATGGTGTGAAACTAGATGGATAAGGAGGAGTGTTAAAGCAAGAGGAAGAACTAATTGATATCCTGAAAATCTGTGAATGGACTTACGATTCTACACTCCTGAGAACTGTGTTAGCACAGAGTTTGCATTGAGGAAGGCACGCTGAAAATGTGCCTTCCTTTTGCCCAGCATAGCCCTCCTCATTGAAAAAAAATATCAACTTTTATCCTACACAGTAATTGAAAAGAATAAGCAGAGGATATTTATTTTCCTTAACCTGGAAATGGCTTTTGGTGACTGACCTAATTTCTGTGTACCTGCAGGGCTGAGGAGTGAGAAGGAGGCATTCAGTGACCAGGGAGTAAGAGATTAGGGGACAGGAAATTTGCTGAATATACGAATTTATGGTGTGGTCTGCACTTTTGTATGATTAAATGTGAAGTGCAAGCAGCAAAAATGGGATTTACGAATCTCAGCCTAAATGACTGTGGAAATCTTTGAGTCCTTGTGGGAGAGTCTACACCTGAAATAATAACATTGTCATTTCTTTGGTGAAAATAAACTAGTGCTGATAAACACACTGCAGTTTTAATAAGGTGAAACATCGCAGTGAGTAACACTGCAATAAGAGTTACATGATTTGTTTTCCTTCTGAAAATTTTGGGGGCACATTTTCAATGTATCTGCTTGTCTGTCTTTGACAGTTCCGTGCTTTGCTGTGCAGAGGCAAATGAGTGCACTGTGCACATCGTGTTACACGGTGCAACACCAGGGAAATAGGTGGGCAGCACCAAAATCCATTGACCTGGCAGTGTGACTAACATGCTTGTGCAATGAACAGTGTGCACCACGAAACCAAAAAGAACCCACAGGGTGAATGTTCGTTTTCCTTAATATTTTTCAAAAAAAATTATTTTATGCAGGTGAAAGATGAGTACATTTATCTTAATGACTGCACCTACAGAAAATCATTCTTTGCTATTTTGCCGCGTTGCATAATTACAGCACTTGGTACATCTAGTCCAGACTACAAATGAATATGTTTGCATCAGAAAATGCAGCTTGAATTTGTTAAACAGCTGAGAGAGAGGCAGGAGGAAGAGACTCTTTAAATAAAAATAACGGTAAGGATTTTTTCTTATCTCTTTAACAAAAAAGAAGAACATAAAAATTTCCTAGAACTCATAAAGATTTATCTCATACCTGCAATATAAAACTCATCCCACTGAATAATTTGAAGAAGCATATATATAAATTAATTTAGATCAAATGTTAGTCCCAAATAAAATTATTTGCATAAGCAGTAAGAAGACAAATATAAACAAGTTCTATATGTAAACATACTGTTTCTTTAACAGCTACCACTATTTTCATGAGTTCCAAGGTATTTGTCAGGCTTATACTGCATCCATTTTTATAAGTGTGTCAGTATCAAATGCAGGTATTGAGCTGTCTCCTTCTCAGATGGTCACGTGCAAAAGAAACCAAGCACTCCTGAGATGTGCACGTAGGGCAGAACAACAGCAGGGCATCTCTCAAACATCTGACTGTCAAACATCTGCTTCAGCAACACACCACACACTGCAAGACCAACCCAAGGTTCCCTCCTCCATTCCATGAAGCTGTAATCTGTTAAGCCATCTGGCCATGAGAAGGTTTAGGTGCTTTAATTCCCCTTACCTACAGGAATGGTCATTCCATGGATTTTGTCTGCCCAACCGGCATAATACCTCAGGGTTTTGATGACTCCCTGGAGATCGACATAGAAAGCTTGCAAGAATGGTTTGCCACTGTTCAGGGATTCCATAGTCTGGAGGATAAGAAAAAGTTTAGAGGTATAAGCACAGTAATTTTTGGGCTATTGTAATTAAGTATTCACCATCTTAACAGCTCTTCAGTCATGACAAAGATTTTAATGAAGACCAACCAGTTACATCTTGGCATAGTTTTACCCTAGAAGTTGCAGAACAATTATCTGATCCCCTTTGTGTACTTTTTTTTGCAAATGTGAACAAAAAACGTTTTCCTTAAAAAAACGTGGTTTCTTCTGGAGTATTCTGGAATGGCTATGATTTTAAGAACATGTGTGAGTTTATGTGTGTTTATTTATCTGTCTGTCTTGTGGGTTTATGTGTGTATCCACATGCATGTACATGTGCCTTTGTGTGTTTTGAACCTAATAGCCACTGTGTTTGGTCCAGATCTATAAATGCAGAATTGCTTTAATCAGGAGCCAAGATAAAAATGCTTGTCAAACTAGGTTCTGTTATGTTAATGATAACAGCTGAGAAGGGGCTCCTTGTAACCCCTTATTAATGATCTGAATCCATAAAGAGAAGAATGGACATATCCCTCTTTATATAATTAATGTGAATATAAAAATTTCTCTATATGGCTGCCAAGACTCCTGCTGAGGTCTGAGATATCTATACTGTACAGCCAGTTTATTTATTGCCATCAAATAAACAAACTCTCCTCTAGGGAAGCTCATAAATTAACAAGCTAATGTCCTTATTTTTAAGTTAATATTCCTAGTTTTTAAAAGTATCTTATAAGCTGTCCTCTTAGGGGTTCCTAAGATCATTTAGCAAAAAGAATCCAATAAAATATCCTAAGATGTTGAGGAGCTTAACTCATTCTCAATAGCTGTCTAATAGAAATCGTTAAGAATGGGCAAAGGACGCCCATGTGTAACACACCAACCATCAAATGAGTTTCTATAGAGAAGAATGGAGGCCTAATTCTGCACTGACTTATATCCCCAAGAGCAATTAATGGCATTGCCTGCAGTGCAATTCAGTAAAGAACTTGGCTCCAGAAATAAAAATCAAATGACAGGCAGAGTAAACTTGATTTGCTGTGCACTTCCTTTTCCCTGGGGCGATTTTACAGTATGCGCCGGTGGTAAGATGATTTAAGTGTTGACAAAGCTGGAATTAAGATGTTCTCCGGCTTAGTTCAAAGCAGTTGACATGCGGAAAACAACATTAACAATGCCACTGTTTTGATGGCTCCATCCAGCAGCCAAGCAGTGCTGTACCCAGAACTCGTGTCCCGGCCGAGCGTCGGCCAGCGTTTCTTCCTCCTGCCATTTCAGGAGTGCTTGCACCGATCCCTTAGTCTGGCACTTTTTACTCTAGAAAAGTTAGAATTGCAGACACAGACTGTGCACACCCCTGCATCTGTGTGATGTCCCATTAAGAGCTCATTTGAGCCCATTGGAAGGCTCCTGTTGACTTTTATGTGCCTTGGATCAGACTGTGAGCAGACAGCCAGACATCTCGGCCGTGAGGCTGAGTGTGGCTTTCAGATACAACTCATATCAACACATTCATGAACCAATTTGCTCTCAGAAAGTAAAACTGACAAATGATTTGACTGTTGATTTTCTTGTGCCACTTACAGCAAGAATTGCCCTGTCTCTCTCAACCAAGTCTGCCAGCTTATCCAAGAGATGGCCTCTTTCCGATGCATCCATTCTCCTCCAAACAGAACCCAGGGAAAATGCAAGCCTGGCTGCCCTCACTGCTTTGTCTGTATCGACCTGGGAAGAAG